GTTCAAATATAATTACTCATCTGATTGTCTAGCAAACCCTTAGGTTCTGTTCTACCTCTTACAAGGAAGGTCACAAACTTGCCCTATGAGGATATGATGATGTTTGATTTCTTTTCGATTAACAGTGAAAGCTAAAATTATAGGGGAAACAAACAAAAAGAACAACACAATCATATAAATTGGGTGATGCCTACCAGTAGAGCCAACATCGTGCAAGGAAGTTCCTTGAAAGGAACACAGAATGTGTCAGGCATGGATGTTTGCAATCCTAATCAATATACATGCAGATTTGATATGTAGTGTGCATAAGTCTTGGAAGTGTGATATTACTGGGGTAAGAGGCTTGCATTATATAGATCTAAAGCATGTTTCTCCTTTTATTTCATCAACAAAAAGTATTGAAAAATGCTTTTGGTAACAGTTTAACCTTATTTGCGGTGCAAGTTTGTGGAAGCTTACAAAAGTTCTTGTAGAATAAATTTTGCTTACACGTTCAAAACTTTGGCTTCGGGTTGAATTTGACAATTTCAAAAGGTTGAGTTTAGTAGTATTAATGTCGAAGAATGTATCTAGGTTATGAAATTCATGAATTCTACTGGAATAGTTATATACGCAATAGTTACTACTGCTATGTCTGTCATCTGCACAATTATGAGTTATCAAATAGTCCTAGTGATTTGATTCATGATCAGCAGATCCATAGGAACACCATCTCCTACTAGCTTACTGGCTTGACAGTGGACACCTAGCTTTGAATTCATGATAATGGCTTGATTACCATCACATAAAAGTCCATTTAGTGATCGATAATTAGCTACCACACGAAGTGCTATCACCCTTACTGCTAACGCTAACGCTTGAACTATGACAGCAAACTCAGTGTCCTACAATAGTATGAATTATTAGTAACATTCTTAGGCCCCTTTTAGTTTTTATATTATTAGCTTTATAGGAGTCTTCATAAAAGGAAAAAAAAACCAAGTGCTTTGGTTGCTGGTGATTTGATAATCACTAATCCTCCGATTCTTGTTACTATCACCCCTAAAATCAGTGGTAATGTAGGCTCAACTTGTACTATTTCTACCACTAAATAGGCTGCAACTATTCATAATCATTATAGTTTTAATGCTTTTGCCTAGTGGTAAGCTCTAAACCTGCAAGCCATATGAAACTAGAGGCTTAATCTTTAGAGAGACAGTTCCTCCTAGTACTAACAGCAACAAGGGATAGGTTCACAAACGAACACCACTTAATCAGAACTAATGGATTAACAGCCGGTACAATTGATGACCAAAGTTGACTTACACTCTCTGAAAATTTTGGGCTGGGAATTCCTGC